TCGCCAGGCAGCGATGGCCTTCAGCAGCAGCCCTCGCTCGAGGAAGCTGCGGAAGGCCAGGCCCTGGCAGACGATCAGAGGGAGGGTTGAGATTCGTCGGACTTGGTGGAGGAGTGGAGGCCTTTCTCTCGGCAAGTCTCTGGGGCGAACGGCCACGCGTTCCTGGCCTGCCCTCTCTTCGAGCCTCCAGGGACCCCCAGGAGCAGGATCCACTTCTGCAGCATGTGTGGATCGTTTTCCTCGGGGGCTCCCAACGCTGGAGCCAGAGGGCCGTGTGGGCCTAAATCTACTACGGGCGGGATTTTTGACGAGCTGAGAAGGATTCAGCTGGGTAGCATCCCGTCGTATAAGAAGGACTTGAAGAATTTGTCTCGGGGGGCCCACGAGGGCCTGAACCTCGCCGAACGCAGGGTCCTGGCTCAGACGCTGCACGAGGATGGCCGACCCCCCCAGAGCGTCTCAGGTTCCATGGCGGGCTGCTTCGCAGGGGGCTTCGCCCCGCGAGAGCGGGTTTTGAGTTCTTTCGGCCTTGTCGAGTCGGATCTACCCTGGGTCAGGGACCGTGGGGCCGCCTCCCTCCGAGCCTCGCGCAACAGACTCGGAAGCCTCCGACTTTGGTTGAGAGTTGGTGACGTGCAGGCTAGAGGCCCGTCCCCAACAACCTCCTTTTCCTCCTCCTCCTCCTCCTCCTCCTCCTCCTCCTCCTCCTCCTCCTCCTCCTCCTCCCCCTTTTCCTCCTCCTCCTCCTCCTCCTCCTCCTCCTCTTCATCCTCCTCCTCCTCCTCTTCCTCCTCCTCCTCCCCTGTAAGCCTTTTTGGCTCGAGGCGTTTTGGCTCATGCCTGATTGGGCGCGTGGCGGACGGTGCGCGGCGTGCCTCTCCTTCTAGAGCCCTGTCGTCTCGGCGGGCACAGAGAACGGCTCGGTCTCTGGCAGTGGCTGCGGCTGGCTGCACGACTGCCCCATCTGGCAGCGGAGCTGGCCGCGGCACGCGGCGGCGGAACTGCCCGTCGGGGGCTCGGCCTGGCCCGCGCTGGCGGCGCCCAGCCAGGCGGCCCTCGCCCGAGCGGCCGACCTCGAGGCACGGCGCGCGCGCCTCCAGGCGGGCGTGGACCGCGCGTTGGTCGCCAGCCAGGCCATGGTCGCGGCGGCCGCGCATGCTGCTGCCCATGAGGCCGGCGGCGCCGTGGCCTCCCCCGAGGGCCGGGGCGTGGTGAGCGGCGAGCGGTGCCCGCTGCTGCACGCGGACGTCCCCGAGGTCGTCGCGAGGCTGGCGCTGGTCGCGCCCGTCATGGCGGCGGACCTCTTCAACGAGCCTGCGGCCACCCTGGACGTCGGGCGTCGGAACGTCGGCCTGCCACCACCCGACGGTCTCGGCGGCGAGGGTGCGCAGGCTCTCGCGGCGCGCGACGCATCGCCTGCAGCGCGCGTCGGCGCAGCGCCCGCGGCGTGGACAGGGAGGCCGCGGTCCTGGTGTCCGCCATCATGGTGTTCTTCCTGTGCTACGCTTACGTACGATTAAGTCGGGCTTGTCCCTCCACAGGAGGAATATTCAAAAAGAGTTAAAACATAGGATGGGGACGATGTTTGGTGTATCCCTTTTACAATGTAGGGGTATTGTTTTGGGTATTTGAATTTTTGTTCGTCCTCCTGCCGCCTGCAGGGGGACATGCCCGACCTAAGCCCGCGCCCTGCTGGTGCTGGCCTCCCGGTGCTGTTCCCGGGAGGAGCGCCGCGCCGGCCCCGCCGCGCCGCCCGCCCTGCTGCGCGCGCCGCCCGGGGGGGGCGCCTCCCAGGCGTCCCAAAGGGGCCGCCGCGCTTTCGGTAGGCGTTTGTTCACGCCCGCGTGCTTCGAGTGCTTCGCGTGGCGTTTGGGCCCCACCTCTGTGCTTCGAGCGCTCTTCGAGTGACGTCTGGTCCCTTGCATTTGTTTGTTCCTGCCGACGCGTCCACCCGGACGCAAGGCTTCTGTCTGTCTGTCGCGCGCTCTCGGCCGCCCTGCCCCCCGCCGCGGCCCCCGACCCGGCGCTCGCGGCCTGCCGGCGGGCCGCTCGCGGCCGCCTGCCATCCCCTGGGCCTCGAGCGTATCCCTATCCCTAAAGCGTGACACGCCAAGAGGCGGTGACAATCTTAGGGCCTCGCCCCCGAAAAGTAAGGGGGTCCCTGAGATTGGCATCGTGAGGAGGAGGTGCCCAGCATAGGGATCGGGATCTGTCCCAGGCTGGTGATGCCTCAGGAGGAAAAGAAACACACAGACACAATGAATCCTCGATCCCCCAGAAAATATGGGAAAATATGGGAAATGGGTGGGAAGACAGAAACCCAGAAAATATAGGAAAATATGAGGAGTTGTTTTATTTGTGTGTATTTATTTGTGTGTCCTGGGGCCTCCTCAATGCCATCCTCCAGGCGGGTCATGCCATCCTGCGGTCGGGGGCCGGAGGGCCGCGCCGAGGCGTCGAGGCGTGGGCGGCGTCGGCGGTGCGTCGGCGGTGCGTCGGCGCGCAGGGAGGCGGGCTCGACGTCGAGCCGCGTCGCCGCCTCGCCGACGCACGGAGGGTGCGGCGCGACCTTCGGGGCCTGCAACTGGAGAGAGGCGGGCTCGACGTCGAGCCGCGTCGCCGCCTCGCCGACGCACGGAGGGTGCGGCGCGATCTTCGGGGCCTGCAACTGGAGAGAGGCGGGCTCGACGTCGAGCCGCGTCGCCGCATCGCCGATGCATGGAGGATGCGGCGCGATCTTCTGGGTCCGCAGTCGGGGTCCAGGTGGCCCAGGGGGCCGTGCCCATTGCGCGTGGCCGATGCACTTCTGGCGGGGTGCTCCGAGTCGGCGGCCGACAGGAGGGGGGTCATTCGTGAGGCGGGGGGGGGGGCAGGAGAGAAGGCAGGGAGCGATCGAGAGCGGGTGATGATGCTGAGGAGAAGGATTATGAGGAGGAGGAATATGAGGATGAGGATGAGGATGCTGAGGAAAAGGATAATAATGAGGGTGATATACTGTGGATGTTGATGCTGGTGTTTACGACGATGGTGATGATACTGATGAGGAGAAAGGAGGATGGTGATGGTGTTGTTGATGATGATGGTGATTATGATAATGATGATGACGACACTGATGCGGGTGACGATGATGCTGATGATGGTGACGATGAGGAGGGTGATGATGATGAGGCTGAAGATGATGATGAGGATGATAGCGAAGAAGAGGATGATAATGATGCTGAGGATGAGGGATGAACATGATGATGAAGATGCCGACGCCGGTGACGACGAGGATGCTGATGAGTATGATGATTATGCCGACGATGACGGTGATTCTGATGACGATGATGAGGATGACGGTGATGATGGTAATGGTAATGGTGTTGCTGATAGTGATGCTGGTGGTGAGGAGGAAGAGGAGGATGGTGACGATGAGGCTGGGGATGATGCTGATGCTGATGATGAGGAGGATGAGGTGAGGATAATGGGGATAATGATGATGATGATTATGATTATGATGATAATGATGCTGATACGGATGATGATGATGATGATGAGGCAGATGGGGCTGACGATGCCGAGGACGATGGTGGTGATGAGGATGATGATGAGGATGAGGATGAGGATGATGATGCTGATGATAGTGATGATATTGGCACCAATGATGATGATGCTGATGCTGATGATGCTAACGATGTTGGCGATGCTGATCTTGATGATGATGACGATGATGCTGATGATTGTGGTCATGCGATAATGGTGATGCTGATGATGCTGATGATGGTGGTGATGATGATGAGGACGATGCTGATTATACTGATGATGCTGATGCTGATGATGATGCTGATGATGATGATGATGGTGGTGGTGGTGGTTTTGGTGACGATGAGGATGGTGATGTTGATGATGATGGTGGTGGTGATGATGATGGTGATGATGGTGGTGGTGGCTGTGATGATGATGGTGCTGGTGGTAGTGATGATGGTGGTGGTGGTGTAGTGGTGGTGGTGGTGGTGAAGAAGAATAAGAGGAGGAGGAGGAGGAGAAGGAGGAGGACGAGGACGAGGACGAGGAGGAGGAGCGAGAAGGGGCAGTACGAGCCGAACGCGGAGACAGAGGCGGCTGAGGAGGATGAGTTCGAGCGAAGGGTCCGAAACATACAACAAGTCATGCCCGTATATGTTCGGAGCTCCGCGCATATTTCTTGGATGGGCATTGGACCCGCTTCCCTGGCGAGCGGCGCGTGCCAGGGGCGGCGCCGGGGGCGCCGCCAGGGGGTTCGAGCACAGATGCAAGAAATCCGCGCGGAGCTCCGAAAGCGTACATTTAAACAGTTGTTTGTTCCGAGGGAAGAAGACAGGGCTACTGACAGCGGTTGAGGGCGCGAGGGGAAATATGAGGACGACTGAGCGGAGGAGGTGGAGGTGGAGGAGGGCAGGACGAGCCGGTCGCGCAGTCGGAGGCTCCTGAGGAGGATGAGGTCGACAGAAGGGTCACGAGCCCAGGCCCCCGACGTCGTGATTGTTTCCACAGCATCAACCCCCAGAGGTCTGGACCCTTTCCCTGGGATTGGTTTCTCATCCTGAGTCGTTGTTTTCGGGATCGGAAAAGAGGGGGGTGATGACTAGGGGGGGTGGATTTCATGGCGCGGGCCATGATTTTTCCTCAGATTTCATGGCGCCTCTTCTTATTTCATCACGCCCCTGGCCCCCCCGCTGGGCCGCGCACATGCCGCCGGTCATGATTTGCACCCTCCCCCTCCTTGGACACCCCCCTCTTGGCCGCTCCCGAGGTTTGACGGTCCGGGGCCTGGGCGGGGGCCTCCCCAGGGGCCGAAAAGCACAAGAAGAGAGCCTCCCGTCGTGATTTTGCTCGCGGCGCGAGGAGGTCTGGGAGGGTGGCAGGAGGAGGAGGAGGAGGAGGAGGAAACAAAGCAGAGAAGGAGGAGGAGGAGGAGGAGGAGGAGGAGGAGGAAAGAGGAGAGGAGGAGAGGAGAGAGGACTCGCGCCCGCGAGCTGCAGGCGCGGGAGCTCGCGTTCATCCGCGCGGAGGTGAGCCGCCTCGAGGCGCGCGGCGCAGCGGAGGGAGGGGGCGGGGGCCTGGGGGGGGGGTGGAGGCGGAGGGGCGGAGGGCCTTGGCCCTGTGAGGTTTAGGGATTCGGGGGCCTCCAATCCTCCTGCCCCTCCTCCTCCTCCTCCTCCTCCTCCTCCTCCTCCTCCTCTCACCCTCCTCCTGCTCCCCCTCCTCCCTCCTCCCTCCTGCTCCTCCTCCTGCTTCTCCTCCTCCTCCTCCTCCTCCTCCTCCTCCTCCTCCTCCTCCTCCCCTGCAGCCCTCGACGGTGTCCGAGTACATGGGTTCCGAGTAGATGGGGTCCGACCTGGAGGCCTCCCAGGGGGTCGGAGCAGATGGGGTCGGAGGATCGTGCCGCATAGCCGATGCATCGCCGATGCGGCTCGATGTGGAGTCCGTGTTTCCCCACGCCGACGGCGCCGATGCGTCGCCGACGTCGCTGATGCATCTCGCTGGAGCATCGTCCATGCGTCGCCGATGCATCGCCGACGTATCGGCTGTGCGGCGCGATCCTCCGACCCCATCTAGGAGGCCTCTAGCCCTGAGCGGCCCAGACCCCAGATTCCCAGACTGGGACCATGCTAAATAAATCCGAGGATGTAAGGAGTCTGGGAGTCTTGAACAGGCCCAGACTGGGCCCCCGGAGCAATCCTCAGGATTGGGGACGGAGGCTTGAGGGACTGGGCCAATGACCTGAAGACACTCCAACTCCTGGCTCAGGGTACCGTGGATGATGAGCGAACACGTTGCATGAACATCAACGTTCGGAGCGCCGCGCGGGCTTTTCTTGGATCTAGGCTGAGCGCCGCTTGCGGTACCCTCCGGCGACGCGCCGATCCAAGAAGTCCTCGCGGAGCTCCGCGAGTTCATGTTTATGCAGCGTTCCTTTTTCTCTAGATGAGGGAGCATCAGGAACGAAGAGGCAGGCATATCAAGGAAAGGAGAAGGATGAGGAGGAGAAGGAGAAGGAGGCGGAGGGAGTACAACGGAATACGATGGGTAGAGCGAACGAGAGAGAGGGAAGCGGCCAGGGTTCCCAGCGGAGCCGGGCGGGACACCCAGACAGTGCCCCGATGCGGTCACCATTCTGTCTGCCAGTTGGAGACGCATGAATCGGTCAGGACTGTATGCAGGCCAGAGGCATGCGTCTTGGCGAAGGGTCTCGACAAGGCATGTGGATTGAACCTTCCCTGGGCCAGAACACATATCGCTGCTCAGGTGTTTCCTAATTCGTATCGGTTTGTTCGCGTCCCCGCGTTGTCGTCACGCTTTCTCCCCCTCTCTTGATGCCTCGCCTTTCACATTGTTGTTGACAAGAGGACGGCTCGCTGGACGAATGCCGCGCGCGCCAGGTTATAACAACCTAGCTGACCATACGGCACATACATTGTGCTTCATTCCATCACATAGGTTTGATACACAGGCTATTTGCCGTACCAGACTGGTCAGCACAAGTATCGCGCCAATAGGATGTGAAGGCGAGCGCAACGGCATACAACAATTCAGCATCGCCTTCTGGAAGGATGCCGTCATGACGTTGAGGTTCTTGAGGTAGTCAGCCACCTACCATCGCGAAAACAAATGCTCGTCAAAAACATGGCCCACATTCCAACAAGAGAGGAGGCCGATATCTCTGCTAAGATGCTTGTGCCAGGCGAGATCAATAGCCCCCCTGTCTTACGTCGAGTTTCAAGTCGTACGCAATCGTGCGTGTGTCCGAATAACCGTGTCATCGTAGCCAAGTCTGCCGCACTTTGCTGTCCATGAGCGAAGGAGCTCACCAGAGGCGCTTAGAATCATTAGCAGAAGCACAAGATGGACACAATCTTTGGTGAAGAAGGGATTGCACACAGCAGGAACTGCGGGCATGCCCAGAGGCCTCCTCCTGCGCCGCTGGAGGCGCCTCCAGCAGCGTTTCCCGCAGCATCGGCCCCGCCGCCGTGGGATCGGCAAGTCTGAGGCTTACCGGTTCCGTTTTGCCGTTTTTTGGCCGGTTCCGACGCCTTTTTTTTCGGTTCCGTCGCCGTTTTGTGACCGGTTCTGGCTCCGGTTCCAATCCCGGAGCCGTTTTTTTGCCGTTTCCAGTCGCCGTTTTTTTGCCGTTTCCATTTTCAAGGGACGTTTTCTGGGAAACGGTGAAAAAACGGCCCTGCCGTTTCCGGGGCCCACAAAGGTCTGAGGGGTGCCATGGGCCCTGGGACCCCGGATGGCCTTGTGGCAGGGGTCCGCGGACGACACGTACGCACCGTACAGTTCAAACCCATGCCAAGAGACACCCTGCTCCCCTCCAGGGTGCCCGGGGTGTCTTGGGCTTCGCTGTCTTTGCGATGGAAAGCAGGACGTTCCCACGACCAAACATCGACGGACGTCCTGGGGTCTCAGGGTTGGGCTTCCTGTGGAAGGCCTCTTGTGGTGGAGCTCCCCCTGTGCCGCGCTGGCGCCTCTCGGGGCGTCGCCGATCCTCGAGCCAGGAGTGGTGCGGTTAGGGGGCCACATGCGAACCCTAGCTCTACCTCCCACGATTTCTGAGGTGGAGGGTGGGGTTCACTTCGTTCGGGCGCTCTCGAGCGAAGTGAACCCCACCCTCCCCCTCACAAATCGTGGGGGGTGGGGGTAGGGTTCGCATGTGGCCCCCTAGCGGTGCACAGTTTGTCGGCCGCCAGGGCCGAAGGATCCACGCACCCGCACCGCGCGAGGGGAGGTGCTGCGGGCCGCTGGCTTCCCGACGCAGTCGCGCGGTTGTCGAGAAGCAGCGCTCGGTGTGTTGGTTCCCAGCCAGCCTGAGGTGTTGGGTCCTCGTTTTGAAGAGACAGCGCCCCGCGTCCCACCCACTCCCTCCCTCCCTCCCTCCCTCCCTCCCTCCTCCTCCTCCTCCTCCTCCTCCTCCTCCTCCCTCCTCCTCCTCCCTCCTCCTGCTTCCTCTGCCCCTGCCCTCCGCACCACCCGCTCCTTGAGGCACACTCCTCACGAGGATCGTGGCCCCAGTGGGAAAGGTTGCATGGCGGCCCCGCCGCAGTTCGGCGCACCCCTCACGAGGATCGTCGCCCCACGGGGAGCTCCACAGAAGGCCCCAGCCACCGAGGGCCCCAGCGGGAAAGGTTGCATGGCGGCCCCGCCCCAGTTCGGCGCACCCCTCACGAGGATCGTCGCCCCACGGGGAGCTCCACCGAAGGCCCCAGCCACCGAGGGCCCCAGCGGGAAAGGTTGCATGGCGGCCCCGCCCCAGTTCGGCGCACCCCTCACGAGGATCGTGGCCCCACGGGGAGCTCCACCGAAGGTGCCAGCCACCGAGGGCCCCAGCGGGAAAGGTTGCATGGCGGCCCCGCCCCAGTTCGGCGCACCCCTCACGAGGATCGTGGCCCCATAGGGAGCCCCACCGAACATGATAGTCACGACTGCGGTACTCACTGCTGCACATGGTTGGGTCCTTCGCCAGGCCTACTTTGTTTTCGTTGTTTGTTCTTGTTTCTTGGTTTATGTTATTCGTAATTAAGCATAATAAGACGGTGGTTTGCTGATCGGCGCGGGTCCTCGCCCCCCTGTCCACACCCCTGCAGTAGATCTTGGTTGTTTGGGGCGCTTGTTTCGAGCAGGCGGAGCCTCTTCCCCATCATGGACGCACTGCCGCAAGCAGTCGCACGAAGCAGAGGTCCAGAGCTCTCCCCTTCCGCCCAATGCCGAAACGCCGAATGAGAAAGCGCCGAAGCGGCCACGACGTTATCGGGGAGCAAGGGCAGCCAGGTCGGCGGGTTCAGTCCAGACGCACCTGCGCACGCAGCATATCTTGAGACACCCCCTGGGCGCCCTCGGTCTCAGCCAGTCGTCTCGGGGGTGGACAGACCTCCTGCCCTGACACGTCGATTAGTGAATTGGCCGTGTTCGGTTCGCGAGAGGGCGCCGCGGCCGTCATTTTTGCGGGTCCAGGTCCGTCGGTTTCGGTCCCAGGCCGGTTTCACCAGGGGGAGGTTTTAGTAAAGTGAGGCTTGTCCACCGCCAGTCGTCGCGCTCGGCAATGCCGGTGCAGAGCACTTGATATTGAACCCTCTGGCCGATGCTGAACGGACATGTGTGCGGACCAGGTGGGCCGAGCTGCCCAGAGTGCCGCTCCGTTCCTGTCCGTCTTCAGTGGTTCCCGCCCGGCGCCCGACGTGCGCGCCTGCACTGCCATGATTTTACAGAAGGCAGCGCGGCGCGATGTCCTTCCGGCGCCCACCACTGTAATACGCAGTGGCTGCGTTCCGGCACGGGTGCATTCAGCGCGGAATTGTCTTCGCGTGATTTTTCTATGGCTTGTGTAAGTTGTCATGTTCTGCCGATGCGCCGTCTAGGCGCGGCCTTTTCTTGTCTTGTCCAGCGCGGCGCGATCTTGAGGCCATGGGAGCAACGTGTTCCACGGCAGTGCCGACGAGCCTATGAGGAAGAGAGTTGCCCTCTCCGTGAGTGCTGCCTGTGGCCGGGCTCGGAACGCTTTTCTTCACGTGACCCCGCAGTTGGAATGAGGTCGGGCATGTCCCTCTACAGGAGGAATATCCAGAAATAGTCAAACTAACAAGGTGGGGACGATGTTTTGACTATTGTTGATTATGTTTCGATTCTTGGTTGATCATGTTTGATGTTTCGTCCACAATGTGCCTGTAGGAGTAGATTCCCGACCTGATAATACGACCCAAGATCGAGCGGCAAACTCGGACTCATTCCTGAGGGGGCGCGTCAAAGCTTGATGCGGCATCCTCAATCCAGCAGGCTGCGTGCTCGGCTCGGGAGCAGGGCGCTTGTTCTGAGCGAGGCCCGCCTTCATAATTCAGCACCTCGTATACTCACGCGACCTTGGTGCGCTGGCGACGCTGGCGAAGGCGTTCAAGGGTGAAGTCTGCGACGTGGAGTCACCGATGGGCACGGTAATGCCACTGGACCCGACGGGTTTAAACCTTGAGCGATCGGGGCCGCGATCGGTTCAAGGTGGAAGGATCGACGCGGTGTCAAAACCGTTGCGAGCGCCGACGCCGCACTAACTTGCAGTCAGGACGCCGCTTGAACCCTTGCGAGCGCCGACGCCGCACGACCCGCACAGTAAGGATGGGCACCCCAATCGGTACCCTTGCATCCTTATCGCGCATCCTTACTACACGGGTTGACTGTACCGTTCGTTGTCCTCCCATCCTGCTTCTTCCACCCTCTGCTTCGCGTTCGTTCTCCCGGGTTCCCCACCTTCCTCCGTCTCCCCGCGGGTCCTGCCCGCCTCCTCGTTGGACGGCGCCGCCAGGCCAAAAGCGCCGCCCGGTCCCGCGGCAGCAAAGCTGCCGCCGCCGCGGACACTGCGGCAGGTGATTCGGCCGCGCAGGACGGAGCAGCAGCATCAGTCAGAGGAGGAAAAGGTTCCGGGGTGGACAGAACCTCCACCCTGACACGTCGATCCGTGAATTGTCCGTTTTCGGTTCTCGAGAGGGCGCCGCGGCCGTCATTTTCCAGGCGTGCGCCCGCCAGGTTTGGGCCCGAGGTCGTTTTCACCCAACCGCGTTTTGCTGAAGGGGTGTTTGTCCATCCCCGAGAGGTCCCCATACCTCTACCCTGTGCTGGTTGTTCCCTCGTTGGGCCTCCTGGGAGGCCCTCGTCGCCACCGCTGGGTTCGCCTCGAGCTTCTGGCCAGAGCTCCGAGGCGGGAATTTAGCCATATCCACCGCCAGGAGGGTCAGTTTTCGGAGCCTCGGCAGGCGGTGGGTATGGACATATTCGGGCCCCAGGGGCCGAAATGCATCCATATCCACCGCCCGCGGGGGCAGCAGGACGTCGGTTCCCAGGCGGTGGATACGGATGAATCCCCGCCTCGCAAGAGCGTGCCCCCGGGAGAGGGCCGGGGAGCAGCGGTATACGTATGGGTACCTTCTTGGCTTCCCCAGGCAGGAGGGCGGTGGAAGGGCGGCACAGGCGGTAGGGGAGGTTGGTGGGAGAGGGGACCGGGCGGGAGGGCGGCTTTCCTCCTCCTCCTCCTCCTCCTCCTCCTATCCTCTTCCCTCCTCCTCCTCCTCTCCTCCTCCTCTCCTCCTCCTCCTCTTCCTCCTCCTCCTCCTCCTCCTACTCCTACTCCTACTCCTCCTCCTCCTCCTCCTCCTCCGCCTCCTCCTCCTCCTCCTCCGCCTCCTCCTCTTCCTCCTCCGCCTCCTCTTCCTCCTCCTCCTCCTCCTCGCCTCCTCCCCTCCTCCTCCTCCTCCTCCTCCTCCCCCCTCCTCCCCCTCCTCCTCCTCCCCCTCCTCGTCCTCCTCCTCCTCCTACTCCTCCCCTCCTCCTCCTCCTCCTCCTCGTTCTGCTCCTCCTCCTCCTCCTCCTCCTCCTCGTCCTCCTCCTCCTCCTCCTCCTCCTCCTCCCCCTCCACCCCCTTCCCGCCCCTCCCAAGGGGAGGGGGGGGGTCGGAGCGTTCTTTTGGGCTAGGTCGCGCCGCGGGCGATGATCGGCTTCTGCATGCAGCCAGGTGGTCTTAAAGCGTTCATGAGAAGAGAGCGCCAGACTTCTGTCGGCCGCTCAACGGTTGTGATATGCCGTTTTGTCAGCCCTGTTGGCAAGGCCAGCAAGGCTCAGCATACACACAGGCACACGTTCCTTGCGAAGCGACCGTGTCTCAGGGCGCAGGCGGCAGCCGACGCAGGCATGCACACACAAACGCATAACTAGCACCGGCCGCCCTCCCGCCTGATCTGGTCCAGAGGGGGGCCCATTGGGCCCGGAATGGGCTGGTCTCGCTGGTGCTGGTTTCGCTGGCGGCAGGTTGCGCCAGGGCTGGTTTCGCCGACGGGAGGTTTCGCAGGGGCTGGTTTCGCCGATGGGAGGGTTCGCCAGGACGGGCGGGAGCCTAAAGGGCGGCGGGCGGGCGGGACCCTGACGGGCGGGTCGGCGAAACTAGCCGGGCCAAACAAGGGTGCAGATCGGCTAAACCAGCCCAGGCGATACCAGCCGCGTGCGAGACCAGCCTGGCGAGACCAGCCGCGCAGAAGAGCAGAAGTCGGCGAAGCCAGCCGTCCCTTTGTGGCCCAAGTAGGCTGCGTGGGAAAGGTTCTCGCACAGTCCGGCGTGCGAGAGACTCAGCGCGTGCGTCCATCTCCTTATGATCCCCTGCCTGGGCCCACGCTTCCGGCCGCCAGGGGCCCCGGCGATTGTGAGCAGCTGTCTCGGCGGATTGGCCAGGCCAGGATCATTTTGTTGGACCAGGAACTACCTCATGGAGTGATATGTATATATATATAGATATATGTGTGTGTAAATATACGTATATACATATATATATATATATAACAAGTAAGTTTCGAACTGAGTATATATATGTGTATGCATACGAACATCGATATATATGTATACAGACACATACACATGCATATACATATACCTATATATACACATGTATATATACACATATATATACATCTACAAATATATATATATATATATATATATATATATATATATGGCCGGCCGATCCGGCCAGCCGGTTAGGCCAAGGGCGGCCGTGTGTGTTCCCTCGTGTGTCGAAGGGCCCGCACGGAAGAGCGGCATCGATTCCAGACCGACAGGTTTTCACGATTTGTTTCCCGTCCCCTTGTTTCATCCCTCCCCCCTCTTCTCCCCGCGCTCTCCTCTTCCCCCGCCCACCAGTTCTTTTTACGCCGCAGCGCGGCAGAGACAGTCCGCACGCGCGCTCGGTCAAGCCAGATGACGGCACTGCGAATTGCCCGGATCCAAGAGGGGAGAGAGGCGGAGGGGACACAACACATACACAATTCTAGACGCTTCGCGCAACCCCACCAGTCTTGCATTTTTCCGCACTCGCCTGCTGTAGTGCCTGGCCTTTGTCCTGCTCGTGGTAGGCCTGTTGTCGTGCGACTCCACGAGGCCGCGCGGCTGTCCGCTTGCGGGTGCGAACAAAAAATCACCCCACCAGCCCATCCAGAAACGATGTCCAGGAGAGTTGAGGTGCTCTGGGAAGTGCGGGGGCAAAGAGGGGGACGGCCGAACCGTGCGAAGGAGGGATGAGGAGAAGGAGGAGGCTGGATGGATAGATGGGGGAGTGGGGAGAAGGAGGATGAATCTGATGATGTTGATGATGATGATGGTGATGACGATGATGATGATGATGATGATGATGGGGAGGAGGAGGAGGAGGGCTGGGAACACAATTTTATGACCCACTATGCTAAGACGATTGGCTTTTATTCGGGAGCTCGTCGAATTTCTGGACCAGAAATTCGACGAGCGAATATCTCACGATCGCCTCTTCGAAGAAACCATGGCTGTATAATTCAACCTCAAGCCCATATATATAGTGCTGCCTCTACTCTGGGCCCCGCTGCCTTACCGGCTGCCTTTAGAGCTAAGTGAACGGTTATGACTGGGTGTTCGCTTGCTACCAGTCCTGTAAAAGTACTACTATATCGGCTCTCGGTCTCTATCGCTGACAAGTTCCCTGCTGCGCTCGTCAAGAATGTTGTTGATGATGTACATGCCCAGTGTCTAGGATCCTGTCGTTTCGCGGCCGTGCAACTAGGTGGAGCTGGACGGCTTCTTGCTTCAGGCTACACACGCCTGGAGCTGGTCTAGGCGGCCCACAAGACCCACTTCATTGCCTCCAGCCCCGATCTAGCCGACGCACTGAATAAGGAGTGGATGGACTTCGGCTTCGTGAGGAAAAAAGCACACGCGCTCCTTCGGCATCGATGCTCATTCCCCCAAAAGGCGATTTTTACACACTGCAGGTGCACGTTTCCAGAAAGGACTTCGTCGATCGTTCAAGTTTTTGAAGCTGAAGCAGGCAGGCTCAAACATCGGGACCATCCAGAGAGCAGGACCTCAGGCTACTGCTTTGTGGGGTTCAGGAGTATCGGGGCTAAGCGGTAGACAGTTACATCTTATGAGAAGGGCTGCCGTGATCAGCCTGCATGTGGACAGAAAGGGTGCTTCGGTGGGCCTCAAGTTGGCTACTACCTTAGAATCGGCCGCAACATGGACCCCTTCTGCATCTACCACTTCCAGGTCATAGGTTGTTGGGCGCGCGCGATCTGGTTAGGTAGGCCCTCCCTCGGTGTCTTGTAAGCTGTTTGGGTTTCGGCGGCCAACGGCCTTGAACGTGCTCGCAACTTGTGGGCCTCTGCCGCCATCCCTGCTCATGTGTACTTGGTGTCTGTCCAACAGCTCGGCTGGAGTGCTCCGTCCGCTGATCGTATCATCATTGACACTGGGGAGGCAATTTGTCTCACCAAGCTTGCTCCCACTCAGGTTGTGTGGATGGCCCATAGGGTTGCGCGTAACGTTTCGGATGTGGCGGCGTTTAGTAATATGGAAGAGTCGCCAGGCTGGACTCGCCCGATTTTCTGGGGGCCGTTGGCTGGCCTGTTGGAGGGTCGTCTTTCGGAGCCTTGGACGGCTAGGCACCATTCAAATCTTCGTTCGCTGATATCTCAGCAGCACTGGTGCCAAGCCAAGCAAGCGCGTCACAAGAAATCCGAGACTGATCTCTGCCAATCTTGTTCAAATGAACCAGGCACACTTTGGTATAGACGTTTCATTGGTCCGCATTGGGCCGCCGACCGTGACAAGCATTGTAGCCCACGACTGCTCCGCTGCGCGTCAGTGCTGCAGCCTCCGGGGCAAGATTTCGAGAAGGCGGCATGTGGTATCCTTCAAATGCCCATAGAGGTCGTGCGTCGGCCTTCGTGGGGTGGCGAGTGCGGTGTTGCTTGGACTAAAAGAGCCGGATGCTGGACACCTCTCAGGCCACGTCTTCAAGGGCAGTTCAGGTATCATCCCAACTTGCCCCCTCCCTCGGCTTGCTGGGTGGGCCCTCACTCAGCTCAATGAGGATGGTTCGCTCCTTGCTGGTGTTTGTGGAGCCGTATCCTGGGACCTGGGGCCATTCCAGGTTGCGAGGGATGGAGAAGATGTTGCCATCCTCCACGGTGCCCGAGGCTTGGTTGTAGGTGAGACTGTTTTTTTTCCACATCGATTGCCAGGGCACCATCGATGCTGTTAATGATCCTGCCTGGCCTTCCTCTGCTCGCCATTCGCGTTGCCATTTGTGGGAAGAGATTCACAGGGAGTTCCCGTCCATCAGTGCTGCTCCCCTTTTTTCTGCGGTGGCTGAGGGCAGCATTTCAGAGTATGAATATAATGGGGACCGTGCTGCAGACGTGTATGCAGGGCGAGGGGTCAGCCAGCATCCTGATACGGCTGATTGCAAGCACACGCTAGATGCCCTGTCAGATATAGTCAAGGAATTCGCACGCTGGGCGGCCATTCAGGAAGTCCTGATGGCTGAGCGTGAAGATTGCGATGCCCTTCCTCTTCCTCCTCGCGCGGCCT